GGCGGTCAGTATGGGTAGCTTGGCGTACATTCTAGTTGGGGAGAGGCCCTTTGCAGTTGATGTTCAGGCTTTGGCCAATCGGATGGTGAGGTTAGATATTTCGGAGCCTAGTCGGGTGTTGGCTTGTGTAGTTTCTCGGTCTTCCTTGTATGACCGCATCAGAGAGCACCAGTATGATGATCCACATTTACTTGTCCTTAAGGACAGGGTTCAGCACGATGACGCCAGAGATGTGACTATTGATGATGATGGCGTGATGAGGATGCAGGGCCGGATTTGAGTGCCCAATGTGGATGGGCTTCGGGAGTTGATATTAGAGGAGGCCCACAGCTCGCGGTATTCCATTCATCCGGGTGCCGCGAAGATGTATCAGGATTTGAGGCAGCACTACTGGTGGAGGAGAATGAAGAAAGATATAGTGAGTTATGTAGCTCGGTGTCTCAACTGTCAGCAGGTCAAATATGAGCATCAGAGACCCGGTGGTGTACTTCAGCGGATAGATATTCCCGAGTGGAAGTGGGAGAGGATTACTATGGATTTTGTGAGTGGTCTCCCTCGTACCTCGAAGAAGTTTGATTCGATTTGGGTGATTGTGGATCGGCTGACCAAGTCCGCGCACTTCATTCTGATGTGTACTACCTATTCTTCGGAGCGGTTGGCAGAGATTTTCATCCGGGAGATTGTTAGGTTGCATGGGGTCCCAGTTTCTATCATCTCGGATAGGAGCACTCAGTTTACTTCCCATTTCTGGAAGTCTTTTCAGCAAGAATTGGGTACACAGGTAGAGCTGAGCACAGCATTTCATCCCCAGACGGACGGGCAGTCCGAGCGTACCATTCAGATATTGGAGGACATGTTGCGTGCCTGTGTTATTGATTTTGGAGGTTCTTGGGCTGAGTTCTTGCCACTTGCAGAGTTCGCGTACAACAACATCTATCAGTCCAGCATTCAGATGGCACCGTATGAGGCCTTATATGGGAGACGGTGTAGATCTCCGGTTGGTTGGTTTGAGCCCGGCGAGGCTAGACTATTGGGGACAGAGTTGGTTCAGGATGCCTTAGAGAAGGTGAAAGTGATCCAGGAGAGACTTCGTACAGCTCAGTCGCGTCAGAAGAGTTATGCGGACCGGAAGGTTCGAGACGTATCCTACATGGTGGGCGAGAAGGTCTTGTTGAAGGTTTCGCCTATGAAGGGCGTTATGAGATTTGGAAAGAAAGGAAAGTTGAGTCCACGGTTCATTGGTCCTTTTGAGATACTTAGGAGAGTTGGGGAGGTGGCCTACATGCTTGCTTTGCCACCCAGCTTGTCGGGAGTTCACCCGGTATTTCACGTTTCTATGCTCCGGAAGTATGTTGGGGACCCGTCCCATATGTTAGACTTCAGCACGGTTCAGTTGGATGATGACTTGACTTACGATGTGGAGCCAGTGGCTATTTTGGGTCGTCAGGTTCGGAGATTGAGATCAAAGGATATAGCTTCGGTAAAGGTGCAGTAGAGAGGTCAGCCTGTTGAGGAAGCTACTTAGGAGACTGAGCAGGAGATGCGGAGCAGATATCCTCACCTATTTGAGACCTCAGGTATGCTTCTCGACCCGCTCGAGGACGAGCGTTTGTTAAAGTTGGGGAGGATGTGACGACCCAACCCGTCGTCTCATGTGTTACAGCCCTGTTTCCCCCATTTATTGCTCTTTCATGTTTTATTATCAGCAACGGGTGAGTTAGAGTTGAATTGAATTGGTTTGGATAGGAAATGAGACACTTAGTCTCTTTAAGGAAGGTTTGGTTTGGAAAAGTCAATCGAATGTTGACTTATTAGTTAGAGGGCTCAGATGTGAATTCCGGTGATTCGGTTAGCTTCGGGAGGTGATTTGTGACTTAGGAGTGCGATCGAAAGTGATTTTGGAGGTCCGGAGTGGAATTAGGCTTGAATTGGCAAAGTTGGCATTTTGGCGAATTCCGGTGGATAGGTGAGATTTTGATCCGAGGGTCTGAATGGAATTCCGATAGTTGCAGTAGCTCCGTTAGTTGATTTTGGATATGTGTGCAAAATTTCAGGTCATTCGGAGGTGTTTTGGTCGGGTTTCTGATCGAATGCGTAATTCGGAAGTTTTTAAGAAACTTAGGCTTGAATTCGATGTGATTTGATGGTTTTAGCGTGGTTTGATGTGTTTTGAGGATGAGAACAAGTTTGAATGAGGTCTTAGGATGTATTGGTGTTTTTGGTTGAGGTCCCGGGGGCCTCGGGGTGAATTCGGGTGTTTAAACGAGAGTTTTGAAGTTTGCTTCAGGTCTGTTGTTGCTGTCATCTGGTATTTCCGTTTCTGGGGAAATGGACCACAGAAGCGGTTCCGCAGAAGCGAGTGGTGGATCGCATAAGCGGTTCATGGCCTGGTGGAGTGTTTCCGCAAAAGCGGAACATTTTTCGCAAATGCGAGTCCGCAGAAGCGGACTATAAACCGCAGAAGCGGTCTTGGGTGGTTCGCAGAAGCGGATGAGGAGACGCAAAAGCGGACGTTGGGTTTTTAATGAAAATCCGCAAAAGCGGGATGTTGGCCGCAGAAGCGGTCCCGCATAAGCGGCAATGGGACCGCAGAAGCGAAATCAACTGTTGACAGAAGGGTTTAAAATATTATATTTCATCCGCGAACAAGAGGTAGTTTCCACCATTTTTAAGCGACTTGGAGAGCTTTGGGCGAGGATTTTCGAGGGTTTTGACTGAGAATCAATTGGAGGTAAGTCTCTTGGCCTAATTATTCGAGTTTATGGTAGAAATTACATGTAAATTGTGGAAGATTCATCAAAAACGGGTCAAGCTAGGGCTTGGAAAGCTGTGATGTAAAAACGGATTTTGAAAGGGCATTTGAAATCCGATTTTGGTAAAATTGGTATGTGTAGACTCGTGGCGAGACGAGGAATCCAGTGATGTAAATTTCGTAATTTTTCGAGAAGTGGGCCCGGGGCTCGGGTTTTGCCAACTTAGTGAATTTTGGTGTTTTTCGAGTCTTTTCGATTGGGTTATGTTTCTTTAGCCTATTGTAATGTATTCGTTGTGGTTTTAATCAGATTTGGCGTGCGAAGAGGTTGATTCGAAAGGCAAAGGCATAGCGAACTAGACTTGTGGCCGGCTTGAGGTGAGTAATAGATGTAGATGATGACCTGAGGGTTTGAAACCCCGGTATATCACATTGTGACGCTATATTGAGGCGAGACACGTACTCTATGACGAGTGCGGGGTCGATTGTGACTGGGAATTGTGACCTAGTCCGTTCCGATTGATGTTCGTACTGTGTTTTTGACTAGAAATTGTTTGGTAATCATCCTACTTGGATTTTTATGAATATGTTTGGGGCTTTGTGCCTATCATTTGCATCCTTCAGGGATCCTTATCACTGCTTCCATGATGCTTAGCATATTTCATGATATCAGTCCTGAGTTAGACACTGCCTCGAAATGGTTAGTAAATAAATAAAGGTTTAAACACTTAGCTCTAAAATTCCTAATAATTGAAACTAAAAATGAATAATTTGACTGTGCCAGATTGGCTTGCATGCATATATATACCTGGACTGAGTGTGGATCGGGCTGCACGCCGCAGCGAATGTTACGATGATATTGCGCTTGGGCTCTAGGAGCCCCTCCGGAGTCTGAACCCCCACAGTGAGCGCGGGTACCCAAATGGATCGGGCTGCGCGCCGCATCGGTCATGTGCATTGCATTGCATTCATGCATTTATATCTGTTGGTCTTAGTTGTCATTGTCTGCTGTTGTTTTCATCATTTAACGTGCTGAATCGTTGATTATAGCTTTATATTGTAATATTTCGAAATTTCTTACTTTCAGCCATTATATATGTTTATTACTCACTGAGTTGGAAGTACTCACTTTACTCCCTGCACCATGTGTGCAGATTAAGGTGCTCCGGAGACTTAGTGGAGCTGTTTGCCGTTTTCGTGAAGTTTATTTTCAGGAGTTGTTGAGGTAGCTGCCTGACGTCCGCAGGACCCGACTCCTCCCCTTTATTTCATTTGTCTTTCCATATCCTAGACTTCTTTATTACTATGGATATATTACTCTGTTACATCTAGAGGCTCTAGACTCGTGACTCCAGATCTATTGGGTACTGTTTGGATATTCGTTATTATTTTCCGTACTATTTTATTTAGATTCGGATTGGAACCTTGATATTTTCTATTTTAATCGTATTATTTGTTAACAGATTGCGTATTTGGGTTGAGAGTATTTAATTGGTCGGGCTTGCCTAGCATTAGTGTTGGGCGCCATCACGATCGGGATTGGGGTCGTGACACTAACTCTATCTCATTCTGCTCTTGAATTAAGATTATTAACTGGACATCAAAATTATCACGACTAACAGGAAAAATCATATAAAGCAAAAAATAATTTGATCTAAGTTATGGAAATTATCTTGATACTTTATTCCTTTCGTTAATGAATAATTTTAGCAATTGCAGCTAACTGCTCCTTTGAGCAGCACATATGCACTGGATATGACATATTCTACACACTTAATTGCACTTAGTTCTTGAAAAAAATATTGAGAAATCAATATCTGAGTGTTGGTTGCAAGTTCCTAACAAACAGTTGCTCCCCATTCTGCTTTTCCAATTGTAAAAGACATGATCTTTTACCTGCTTTGGTATCTGATTAACTACTAAATGCTTAATACAAATGTTCTGATTCTACTTGAAGTGCACAAAGTGCTCTACAGAGATTACATATAAGACAGATCGAATATTTTCTGACAGCAAAGAATGAGCCAAAAATAAAAGCACAACTAATAATGAAGCAGATAGCAAATCTCTGAGGCAACAGCAACGCATTCATTCGACATAAGTACTAATTAAATTCAATATTAATAAATATAATATGAAGTTGCATAGCTAGAGTCATTTACCAGATCACATATCAACAGCAGCACATTCAGTCGACATAAGTACAAAATATATAATTGCATAGCTAGAGGCATTTCAGTAAAACCAATCAGAGATTCTTTTCTTTCTTAACGACTCTGCGAACCTTGTTGCTAGAGAGTTGAGAATTGAAGTCGTCCTCTGGTCCAACTGCTGATGCCTTATTAGAGGATCTAGTCTTCTTGTCATACGTCTTCAAATGAGATATTTTTGCATTGCAAGCATCACCATCTTCTAACACGGACGATCCACTTTCTGATAAGCTTTTCTAGTTGGGAGTTTGCAAAACAGACGTCAGCTGACTTTCGGCCATAAGATCCTTCCAAAAGTAATAAAATTTAATAGCAGTTGGAGAGCAATACTGTCGTTAGTTGCATAATTTTGAATAATAATTGTTAACTAAATAAATAATGCTGTAAAAGTTTAAATTTCATGAAATTTACCCCGAAAAACTTATCTCCACTTGAGCTTTGTCCATCAAAAAATTGTGGATCCTGTTAAACGGAAAGAAAAAAGAACATTCATCCTATGAGTGCAAAAGTATTTATACTTTAATTTTGTATGAGGAGGTTTGTGAGTAAAAAATATTTACAGTGATAGTGTCTTCGAATAAACTATGGTTGTATTCCTTTAGAAGGTCATCGTCATCAGTAAGCTTAAGAACTTTGTAGACTTCGACCTGTGACTCAATATTCTCTTGCTTAACAATAACCTTTAACATGAATTTTTTATAAAGAATATCGTCCAGTTAACTTGGATAAGAATAGTCAGCATCCGCAATTGAAGTCTACACCAAATTTCATAGGTTAGAAATATTATACTTGATAACTAAATTAAGTTTAGTATTATACCTCAAGTAATCTTTCCTTAAGTTCTTTTGTGGACTTCCCTATAAGCTGCATAGCTTCGCTATTCCAAAGCAACAATGAGATAAAAGCGGTTCCATCCATAACACGAACTTGAAGCCTATACCTCCAACTCAATTTTGATTAACCTTATGCATATTTTTTATAGATAGAAGATTTTAATATACATAAATAGTACTTACCTGTGAGTAACTAAAAATTCTTCTTCATTGAATTTCTTACAAAAATATTTATTTCCAACTTTTTCAACCTTTCTACTACACTTGTTATATGCCAAGTATGACCATCCCCGGTCAAGTTCCAAATTAACCAATTTTGCTGTAATCCAATAGCTACATTCCTATTTAACAAAAATAAACAATTATTGTAAATGCAAAACAGAAAACATAAGGTTAATATAATTGACAAAGTAAATTAAATTCACTTGCGTGAACTGAACTAAATCCCTAATAGTTTTAAACAATACAATTCCTTTGTGTAACTCATCTCTAACAGAGTAACTTAGGTGAGAACTTGTTTGAGTGATTCGCTCAAAGTTTGATTGGCGTGCTGCAAGTAATCTGCATAAGTCAAAAATTGTAATTTATAAATACTATTGTTATATTTTGTGTACATATAGAAAAGGATTATACAATTGACAAACCTGGATTTAAAGTCAATAGACTGCGACAATGTAGAATTTATCCATATCTTTGTCTAATACCAACAACTACGCACTGAGTAATTACCTATGTATCAAATGAATTATAATTATAAATTTAAAATTTTAAAATTTTATAAACTAAAATTCAAAAATACATGTAATTACTGGTAAACCTCGAAATTTTTGAGCTTTCATATGCTGGAAAACAACAATCAAAGGTTCATCGCTAAATTCATTCGATTGATGTTGAATTTGATCCACAAGTTCGCTCCATAAGGTTGCCAAAATCTTGTTCCTCCTATACGTTTCATGGTAAGGTTAATCAACACATATATAGGTAATTTATTATAAAGTATTGTTTCTATTTTTGAATTACTTACTGATCATCTTCGAGTACAACATTAATAAAGATACTTTGGTCGTCTCCTTGCTTGTAGGTCTTAACATCTTCATAGGTCACAACCTGAGCAAGAACATCTATAAATATAAAAGTTAGTCACATAGTTGTTCAAATACCATTAGTTCATTAAAAATGAAAAGAAGAATTACCGAGTAATTCTGTCTCATCGACATCATGTTGATTTGTTAGTTGGTCAAAATGGTGCAAGTTAAAGATGTTCATATGAAATGAAGGATCAATTGTTTCCTCAACGAATGTCTTTTGAGTAAATGTCAGCCCGGGGTTGTGTGTCGTAGTCCTCAACTTCAAATTATTTGGTCCAGCTACAAAGTAGTTCATACGATATAAGCGAAATTCATGTATCTTGTTCCTAAAAAACTTAACAACATACTTTTCGATTGAAGCATGTATGCGATCACCCTACAAAATCAGATTCCTTATTAGTGCACAATTATGAAGCCAACATTTAGAGACAGAAAGAGGAATAATCACTGCCTAAAGTAGTCCTCAAGATTTGATGTCAAATAAATAAGCTCGTATATACTTTCATCACTTCCTAAAGTTGTCCTCAAGATTTGATGTCAAAAACCAGAATGCTACAGTTTGTTCCATATCAATTATGAAGCCAACATTAATAGACAGAAAGAGGACTACTTGTACTACACATATTTCATATATAAGCGTATTTTCTGTATGTTCATCCGATGATAGTCTAAGCAAGGCAACCAATATCTAATATTTGCCGGAGTTTTATATTTTGAACAATACCTCTGTTATTATGTACAAAGATGCAAGATAGCTGATTGATTTATATGTATATATTAGGACAATCACTTTCTAACGTTATCCTCAATATTTGAAGTCAAAAAACAGATTGGCGCAGTCGGTTCCATATCACTTAAAGATCTGTTTATATGGAAGTCGAATTATTGGAGCAACTTCTTAGACATTTGAGTAATGCGGAAGAAAGAATTTTCATATAGAATGCAAGTACTTAACGAAGTTTAAAACTATGAGAAAGTTGAATATGTTACCTTAGAATCCTGTAAAACCAATTCAATTGAATACGGTATTTCCGGCTTAAAGCGATCCGGCATTAACCATATTCGAACGACTTTAACTTTGAGATTTCATTGCATCGAGTTGCTTGAAATTTATTTGATATCATGAAATTGTGTGGCATATTTGCAAAGCAATTGTAATCAGACTGGTATACTGAGTACATAAAATATGAAGTTGAAAAGGTTTTGAAAATATAAAGCGCATAGATCAATCAGTTATGGATGTTTAGATAAAATAGGGATTTTTAGTTGGAAGCCCACGTTTGGGAGCACGATCAGTCGTGGGATAAAATCCAACTGTTTTGATGCCGACTGTTTGATGCTTGATGAAATAACTTCACGTTTGATGTCGACTGTTTTGTTGAAATAATTGGAGGTATTCTCTGAAAAATTATTCGTCATTTTTTAAACTTTTATGTATAAAAAAACTAATTGAAAATTTGAGAGGGTAGTTGTTGAGTAATATAGGGCCAACTAAGAAAGTGGGAGAATTTTTTTGTTAATAACAACCAGCCCAATTAAGGGGAAGGAAATTTTGTTTTTAATAGGCAAGTGTATCAATAAGAATAACTGCAAAAACAAAATCGTGGGAGGATTGGGAAAAAAATCGTGGGAGGAATGGAAGTTTTTTAATAAAATAAAATGTAACTTTATTTTGCTGATTTGTAGTTGTCGACGCCCCCTTTTTCTCGCGAAATCGGGTTTACGGCATTTGGGAAGACAACTCTATTCCCGTTTGGGAATTGGGTTTTTGGATTTGAAGAGTCGCCACCTAATGATTAAGTGCATTAGGGCACTAAGGATTTTGAATTGAAAAACCAGAGTTCGGGTAAGGGCTAGAAATTATCTCGAGGGGAAGGTGTTAGGCACCCCTCAAGATCCACTAGTGTGGTTCCTGGCCATGCTAAGTTGTGACTTTAAATGTAGACAAATAATTCTATACACAAAGGTTGCAAATAGGTACGTGACAAGCATAATGAAATTACGATCTAAGTGGTCTCACACTTTGGTTAAGAAAACGTCCAAGTACAGAAATTTAAATAAAAGAAATGAAAATTTAGAAGACAAGAATAGTGCAGTAAATTAAAGAAGAGTTTTGGGTGGCTGAAACAAAGACAAAATTTTATTGATAATAACAAAGTTACATAAAGGAAAAGGGTCCTAGGTTTGTAAAACACATGGATCATCCACACAACACTGGTAGCCAATCGTACGCTTGGTGTTATCGTGTGATCATCATCTCCATGTCTACCCTCCCACCCCGTTAAGGTATTAAGCGCGGAATGGTATCGTTACCTACTGCATGCTATTACCCGTCCCACCTATCAGTCCCGGAGGCATTTGAGACTACTAATCCTAAAAGGGGAGGGAGTTAGGCTTCTCAGAGTTTAAAAAGGTTAAAAAGCTAGGGCGACAATTAAAACACGTAAACAATTAGAGGGGAACTGGTAGCAATTAAGGGCTCAAATAACCTTCCTCATTTAAAAAGAAACAACTTATTTAGCACGATTGACAAATACTGGTTAGGTCTTTAATTAAAATTAATGCAGGAAAAGTTGATTTACCACATATTTCCCAGATAGGGAGTCCAGACTAGTCCTGCTTAGATGTAGTTGTCGAAAACTGACAGTTGGTTAATTACTTAACTATTTGCCTGTGCGCTAAACGGGATTTATAGGCATGATATCTACTAATTCAGGAACGAAGGAATAAACTGATTGCAATAAGAATTGTTGGTTGTAAGCTCTGCGAGTGTTTAAAATTACCATTGATTTTAGATTTAAGAGCGGGTGGGCGATTCAGATTTAGTTGATAGCTCCTATGGGCATGCTTTCTAGGTGCTACTGATTTTACCGCTGTTTATTGTCATGCAGAGATCCTATAGGCAGGTCATCTATATGTAATTGGTTATTTTAAATCCTATAAGCAGATTTGCCTAGTGACAGGTGCATATGCAAAATGCAGGAAGTCCTATAGGCATATTATCTATATGGTATGCAGAATTTCAGCAACGATTTATGGGCATAGTATCTATGTGAGATGCAGAGGTTGGAAAATAGTAATTCCTAAGGCATAGTATCTACATGAGATGTTAAAATTTGAAAGTAAGTATCCTACAAACATGATTTCTATGTGAGATGCAGAATTAGAAAGTAAACATCCTAAAACATGATTTCTATGTGAGATGCAGAATTAGAAGGTAAATATCCTAAAACATGATTTCTACCCTTTGGCAAGCATACAATCCCATCCCTTTTCACTATACACCCCAGTAGTTATTACAGAATTTATTACAGACCAAATGAATCAGAGGAAGCAATAAAATTACATCAGTGATTACATCTACATCTAATCAGCCTAATCTAGACTCAGAGTCTAATAATATGAGATAAACCAACTTCCAGGATCGGATTTTTCAAAGCCTTTCTCTTATTTAGGATGTGTCACAGTTCCAAGGAACTTCAAGAGTTCCAGGCAATGCTTACACCCCAAATATCATTGCAGAATCAGATTATAGTGCAGTGTAGAAGGGCCAGCCCTCAAATGTCCAAGTTCAGAGGGAACTCAAGGTCCCAAGGCAAGGCTCATAGGAGGGGGGCAGAACTTAGAGACTAGGAGTAAGTGTAAGTGCAATGAAAGGGAATTAGGGGGGAGCCAGGGCAGGCTGATGGTCATGCCTAGCAACTGGGATGCTGGCACACCCCTGACCAGCCTGTCAGCCTTAGAATTGGGGAGTTAAGACCTTATTGAAGGCCAGGTTCAGCCCTGGGCAGCAATTGGGATGCTGCCAGGCCATACCTTAACTCAGCACATATAGGGGAATGGGGGTATGGGAGCAATTGTTTATACTAGCAGCAAGAAACAAAGAAAGAACAGGCAAGGCATATAGATACTTTAAAATTAACTTTGCAGAGAATTGAAGGCAGGCATGGATACAGGGACTGTAAATAAACACATTAGAGAGATGCTGAAATTAATCTTAGAGCATACCAGTTCAAAGAAGCAAGTAAGGAGAAACAGTAGACTTATGAGAGCCAAAGTGCAGTCAAGAAGCAAGAGTATAGGTTTAGAAGAGAGTTGTGATTTCTGTATGCTTAATCGTGTGTGTGTGTTTAGAATTGTGTCCTGTATTTATAGTGCAGAAAAGAAGCAGAAATAGGTAAGAAAAATAGTTTGAAAATCAATCACACAAGGTTTCCCTTTAATTAAGGGACTCTGATTTCAAACGGCAAGGTAAATAAGGAAAGGGGTTAATTAAACACTTTTCAGAGTAATGCAAGAAGGGTAAATACATAATAGTTATTTAAGGAAAGGGTTTTGACAGTACACGGTCATGCAAATTAAGGAAAGGAAATCAATTGACAGCCAAGCAATCAAGAGTCGAAAATTTTGTATGAATGAACCAAGTCAGAAAAAGGTAAAGAGAGGCTTTACTTAAGAAGAATCAGTAGTAATCAATTAACCCCCAAAAAGGATTCTGATTTGAACACAAGTTGGAAAACCTTTCGAAGAAAATTTTTAACACACATATAAAAGGGATTGTCATGCTAATCAGAAGAGTCTTAGTGTAGAAGAATTCATACACAAAAGGATTCAAACTCAGTACATGGATTCCAAAGTGAGTTTGAGAGAGTCCAGGGCTCAAATAGAACCCTAGTCCAAACACACAAAACCAAACTCGCCAAAAACCCCAAATCCTAGGGTTTTCGACTTGAATCAAATGCAAAGAAGAGAAAACAAGCAGATATAGTAGAATGTTCAATGCAAACAGAGTAAGGGAATTAATTCGAAACACAATGAGAGTAGAAGAAACAGTAGAGGAAAATATGCTTAAGCAGGCATAGTAAGAACACTTAATGAACATGGTAGGAAAATACAGTAGGTGAAGCATAATCAAGTCATAGTGGAAGGCAAGTAGCAGAACATAGCGTGTGAAAACATAGCATAGAAACATAGTATAGAAACACGGTAGAAGGAAGAACAAAATATGGCAAACATAGTAAAAAAAAGGAAACATAAGAACATAGCAGAGACAAACATACACAAGAAAGGGAGAAGAAAAGTCGGAAAACATTTAAGCATTTTTCAGAAACCCTAAGAAAGAAATGACTTTGAAAGTAAAAATTTTAAAGAAAAGTTGGGGAAACCTCTTAAAAACTCAAAGTAAAGCATGAATACACACAGATCTGAAGAGAATCGGAGAAAAACCTCGACAGCTAGGGTTTCAGATGAACCCTAGAATGAGAAAGGCTTCGAAAATGTCCGATCTAAGTCGGATAAGACCGGGAACAGGCTCAGGAGGCCAAGATGTGCCGGAGCCAGGCCGGAGATGGCCGGAAACCTCAAGTCGGCGGAGGTCTGGGTGGAGACCTTTGAGGTCTAGCCTCAAACCTTCGAATACCAAGCACACAGGAGCGATAGGAGGTGAGTATGAGGGTTTCATGGCCTGAGAAGCCATGGAAACCGGCGAGAATTGCAGGGATTAGGGTTAGCTTGGGTGGCGGCGACTAGGGTTTGCAGAGAGAATGGGAGAGGAAGGGGATTCAAGGGCGGCGGGTTAGGAGAAATGAATTAGGGTTGGGGGGTTTGGTAAATTAAAAAGGAAAGGGTGTGTTTGGGCCGTTGATCTTTTAGATCAACGGCTGTGATTTAAAAGGGGGGTCCGGTCGGGTAATTTAATTGGGTCAGGGGTTGGGTTGATTTTAGGAATTGGGCCGGTTGAAATTGGGTTTAAATTGGGGGCTGTAATGTGGCTATAATTGAAATGCAGATGGGCTATATATTAAATAGCCAATTTTCCCTTTTTAATTTAATTAAAATAGTTGAAATAATTTTAAAAACAAATTAAAAGCACTGAATTAATAATATATAAATTTTAATCTAAAAATACTGGGAGCAATTTTATAGTTGTAAAATGCTATTAATCGCAATAGGCTATAATTGCAATTTTATGCAATTTTAGCTTAGAAATATCAAATAAATTTATAAAAAATATGCAAAAATCACCTTAATTATATCTTAGTGTAAATATGAGA